GGGCAAGGAGCAGATAGAGAAAGTGAGCAAGAAATTTGGGTTCATATTTGCCACCTTTATAGCTGAATTAGATGTTTGGCAATGAATATGGTTTCTGTTTTTGAACATTTTGGGTGTATGATACAGTGGTATTGTATTGTAGTTGTATTTTGAATTAATTAATATAATTTTGTGAATGTTTTAAAAAAGGGTTTGTGTTAATCAATAGGGGTGAAGCTGGGATATTTTTATTGGAGAGCCAAAAGCCAATGAACATGGACTAGAGGGGCCAAGAGTTAATAAATATGAAGACAACGCAACACCATTATACCAAACACCCCCATAATCAACATTTGTAAGGGCAATAGTCCAATTTATCCAGGGCAGCCATCATCAACAAATCTAGGTCAACTGGGTCAGTATGAAACCAGCCATGTCAAATGGGTCCTTCCAATTGTTATGCACTGATCCTTATCACCCACTTAATTCAGGCAACCTTGCCAGCTAGAGAATAGAAACTGCTTCTCTTATCCTTTTCATTCTTTCTCCATGATGCCCATGTGGGTTTGGGAAGAAAGGACATGGCAATTCCTTACCAAACAGGGAAAGTAAATATGTAGATTCCAATACCAACGGAATTTAGGGATTCATTGATCTGTCACATCCAAACAGACCCTATGCATGAGCATTCTTCCACTTTGTGGAATGCATTATATATTTAGATTACTTTCATGCGCCCCTTCATGAAACCATGAGCTTCAACTTGAGTCTTGACTACTCATTAATCATAATTCATTCAACAAACACTGAGACTTGCCAAACAAACACTTAAAAACTCCGAAAACCCACCAACCTCTCTATCAGCTCCTAATCATAAGATGGGACATCTCTCCCCCATGAAAAAACAAAGTAAAAAAACCCACCAAAACTCAACCACATAAGCCACATTCCTGCCACAAGCTGATGATCGATCACCATGGATAATGGCACTGATCTGTCTAAGTCTAACCCACTCTTGTTAATTTAACCTAGCTAGGTAGCTTACTAGGTTGGTAGATTAAAAAAAAATCCAAAAGTTACCATTTTAATAATTTTAAAGTGTATTTCAAATCATTTCTACAGGAAATTGAAGAGAAGACAAAAAAATTCAATTCTCACGTCAAATCACTCACAATGAATTTCCAATAAGAGAAGTTTGAATAACACAAAAGGTTAAAATTAGAGACATCCCAGCAGGTCTATCACGGCTGCTAAGACCCTAGGATAAGTTTGAAGTGTGCACTATTGTTCATGATGGATGGATGCAACAAAAGATGTCAAATGTGTAACACCCAATGCTTGTTATAAAAGTGACCCACTAAGTTGAGGATACAATAATTGCCCCTTAGTCGGCATATTTGCGCTTATGGGATCATCCCATGCTCAATTGTACTATTGTTGATTGATATGGAAATGGAATTTTGGTGCAAATGGGTCTGATCTGAATATGCCAAAGCCAAATGATTTTCTTTCAAATTCAATCTTGTTTTTAAGAGGTTGAATGATGGGGTTTGGTTATCTTTCATATCTTTGCTACTGTAATTAGGTCAGAGTTAGGTTTGGGCAGGAAAATTCCAACCAGATTCAATCCAGTTATCAACTGGTATCCATCGTCAGTCTAATCCCTAAGCAGGGTTTTTGGATAAATCAGATGGGTCAACAGAAAATGGCAAAATTAAGCCAAACTAATCATTTATCCGGTCTCAAGTACCAGGCAGGTTGGCTAAGGATTGACACCTTTTTTTAACAACTAGTACATTCAATTCAATTGTTGCATATTGGACGAGTCTGTTCAATTGACGACAATCTCTTATGACTGATTATCATTTTGTCATCCTAATGCTCCAACAACACATCAATTTGGAGATGTCTAGATGCTCTACTTTGGTTCATTATGCCTAGCTTTTGTTCCAAATTAAGCACCTTTATTCTTTATTCTTATGAGATTAAAGCAAAGATAATCACAATCGACCTTCCAAACCAATTTAGTTCTCTCTCTCTAGCATCTTACGTATCTATTTATACATAGTTAAATTTCTGATAAAAGTCTATTTGGGAGGAGTGCAAATACAAATGTTTGATTCATAATAATGCAAAGTTGGTTTAGTTTTGCGACGATGATTTTATATTCTTACTAAAGTAACTAAACGATTTTTATTTGCAATGGATATAAATATGAATTTCAAGACTAGAATCCACATTTTTTATATTGATCAACTTTGAGTGTAAAAGTCATGGTTTTCAAAATCAGACTGGACCGGACGGTCAGATCGGAAAAACCGGGAATTGGTCAGGTGACCGGTTCTGTTTTTCCCCAAAATTGGATTTTTTCCAAAAAATGTTGATTTTGGTTAATAAATCGCCGACCCGGGCGGTTAACCGTTTGAACTGTTCGAACCATTTTGATCATTTTTTTTGTCAGAATCGAACAATCGAATCGTTTGACCCGAGAATCGGACCCCCAACTGGTTCATTCTCCAGGTCGGTTTTAAAAACCTTGGTAAAAGTTTTAGCATCTTTTTATGGATGAATATGCATGTAAAGTCTTGAAATTTATAATTACTGTTATTTTTAATATACAAATGTATTTAATGAGGGGTAATTTGGTCTTTCGAATAATATCACACGTGGCATCCAGGTGACACCTCGGCACTGAGTAAGCAAATCACCCTGGCAGGTCGACTAGTAGTACCTCGCCTAAGACCGACCTAAAGTACCTTGGCTTGGCCGAGCTAAAGGACCTTCGAATAAGGAGCGACCTCCTTTGGGGACCGATCAAGCTAAATAGGGTACAAATGGTGACCTACAAAGCATGCTCGCTGACCTATTACATAGATTTGTTACCAAGACCGAGTTCTCCGGAGTGATAACGCTCGACCATTAAGCCGGCCTACCTACATCACCCGCATCTGAGTCAATCGGACAGACTTTAGCTCTTTGCACAGATTACGTAATCGATGGAGATATTCTCTCCCAACTTAGCGGAAATGGCTCTCTGGGAATCTCAAACCCATTACAAAAGGTTTTTAATCCCTCACACCTATATAAGGGCATCATTCTCCTGAGAGAAAGTACGCACGATTTAGCTCTCACACTCTCTAAACTCCTAAAGCATTCTAATACTCTCTAAAAAAACTCCCAAATCGCTGACTTAAGCATCAGAGTGCCCTCTTCGGGTAAAACAACCCGGGCACTCTAATATTGCTCTCTTGCATAACAACTTAACTTGTCGCTACTCAACTCAATATTCGAGCTACCTCCAGCTCGACCAAACTTAGTTCGGCTTCCAACAAAGAAAACTTCCAACCCGGGATCCGAGTCATCTACCAAGCGAAAGCCGCCAGATTGTGCACCATCAGTATTATTATCAAATGCTTACAAAACTGAACCAGAGTATATATGCATAGTCATCCCAAACAGAACTTAAGGAAGGGAGGGATACCATAAGCTCTGTACATCATTGTTTCACCTTTTGTTGCTTTCTCACCACATTCCCACTGTACGTGGTTTTGTTTTATCCAAACGGGTCACTTTAGTTGTTCTCCACACCACTTACACATCCTATGTTTATCCCCACGGAGGATGACACAGACATTGAAGGCCATCCATATCTAATAAGTGATACTTTCAAATTTCAATGGACTCATGATCCATTAATGGAGTGAACCCAACGTGGGTTTTCAAATTGCCGCTGATCCGAATGGTTCAACAAGGGGTGCCGACCAACATATACGGTTTAGTCGTAGTTGAGATGACTGCGAATCTCTTGCTCACGAGTATTCTGCCCACATCTACTCACAACACATTACTCCTGTGAATAAGGAATATCTCTCGTATAATACTATGCAAAAAATGCAATGTTCTTCATATGTGACAGTGATAAACATGGACAGAGTTTGTATGGACAGGAGATGCAGACTCAGTTGAGATGGTCGTTACTAGTTACAATGGATGAACCGCCATGTTGAGGAGTCAAACCAGTGGCCCAGGCAGCTTTCCGGTTTGGCATCTCCATCAGTTTTAAAAGAGTCAACCATGAGCACTCAATTGACTTAAAAAGTTAAAAGCAGAAAAGCTCAAAAGTTAAAAATTGAAAAGAGAAATTCACTTTCCTGTCTTAATTTTCGAGCCAATAAACGGTAAAAACGGTGGGATCTTCATGGTTTACTCAACCAGAGCACTCCTCTTCTGATCACCACTGAAGTGGTCTCTATTCCCTTTCCCTGTCAACTCTGTACCACAATTCAAGCACTGGCAGCCATATGAAGGAGAGAGAGGGAGAGAGAGAGGGTGATCTGTCTTTAGAACAGCAATGGTGGAGGGATAATGTGGGCAATCCTGTCCGACTCCGACAGGAGATTCTAAATTAATGTGTATAACTCCAATACTGAGAGGAGTGCTGGGTGCACTCGAAAATGTGGGGTACCCCAATCACCATGGGACACTTATCCCTCCGTGCAAAGTTGGGTCCCATGCATTACCCAATCACAGAGCCGTACCGAAGCAACTGTACACTTTGCTTGGGGCATCTCTTCAATTCTCCCTCTGCACTTGAACCCCAATGCTTCCAAAATTTTACACAAACCAATTCTAACAAAGTTGCTTATATTCATCTCAGACAGGTGTTAATGGGCTTGATTGGACTACACCTCATTCACAAGGTCCAACCCAGGGATCCGGTTCACAAAATCAAAAGGAGAAGTGCTTTTTTCTTTTTATTTAATGCCCATTTACTTTTTATAGTCCAATCCAATCATCCAAATTCCTTCCGTTATCTATTATGGGCCCTTCTAGATCTGGGCCATGATGCCATGAATGGTTCGAGCTCAAGACCCTATCTACAAGGTGCCACGTGGAGGCAGCTGATGGCCCCAAACAAATAAGTATGACGTTCGAATGACGGCCCATGATGGCCCACACACTCAGCATATATGATGAAGAAAAATAGAAGTGAAGAAATCAAAATACCAAACCAAACTCTCCTACTTGTCTCCCTCCAGCATGAACAGAACAGAATCCCGTTATTTGAAGTACCTAACGAGTAACGACGTTCCGTTACCCGCCGCCTTCCATCACCCAACTCAGACTCAACTCTGATCATACCACCTTCTCTCTCACGACAAATTCTCCCTCCTCTGCACTATAAATATCAACCAAACCTACAATAACACCAATCATCCAACACTCTCTCTTGTCGATCTCTAGACCTGCTTCTCGTTCTTCTTCTGCATCATCAATTCATCATAATTTTCTTCTTCTTTCTCTTTTGGGGTGAGAGCGAGATGGGAGATGGAAATGTCAACCTACCTCCTGGTTTCCGATTCTACCCAACTGATGAAGAACTCGTCGTTCATTTTCTCTACAGGAAGGCGGCACTCCTGCCTTGTCATCCAGATGTCATTCCGGATCTCGATCTCTATCCTTACGATCCATGGGAGCTCAGTGGTCCGAAATTTCCTCCTCTTTTCTAGCTCTGTTCAATGACAACTCTGATTCTCATTTCTTCCTTTCTTTTGCATTTGGACTGTGCAGGCAAAGCGTTGGAAGGGATTAATAACCATTGGTATTTCTTCAGCCGAAGAACGCCAAATCGAATTTCTGCAAATGGGTATTGGAAGCCGCTGGGAGTTGATGAACCCATCTTCACAGGTGAGAGTAAGAAAGTGGGTATGAAGAAATATCTCGTCTTCTACCTTGGTGAAGCTCCGACGGGGATCAAAACCAACTGGGTAATGCAGGAGTACCGCCTTTCAGATTCTGGTTCCAGTAGTAGGTCCTCTAGAAAGAAAGGAAACTCAAAAATGGTAAGTAGTTTCGTTTGCCCAGAACGAATTTAATTTCATTCCAATCTAGCTCTATGCGTAAACTGGAAAACCAAGCTTGGTTTCTGATTTCTTCATTCAGGACTCGAGTAGACTGGTCCTCTGCCGAGTCTATGAGAGGAGTGGTGGCTCTCAGGGGAGCTTCTGCGATGAAGATGGAGATGGCACCGAGCTTTCATGTTTAGACGAAGTTTTCTTGTCACTAGATGATCTCGACGAAATAAGTTTGCCGAATTAGATTGAGGGTTGGTCTACTAAAATGGGCAACTGTAATATTAACAAGTTCTTGGTAAAACATTAGTAGTGGATGAACATATTTGAAATCAACTGTGAATTGTTTTCTTCTCCTTTTCATCACTGAGATGGGATTTTTACGTGCTTGGCTTCTTGGGGGAGAAGAAGGGTAAACGTGGGAGAAGGGGTGGAGCCCAAGCAGCACTGTTAGGCTTGCTGTGCTTTGAGCAATCCTTCTTGGCTTTTAGCTTTCTTCTCTCTCTCTCTCTCTCTCTCTTTTCTGCTTTGATGGCCTTTGGTGGTTGTTTTGTGTCACAAAGGTAAGGAGCAATTCTTGTTTGTTTTTCTTTTTTTTTTTTTTAATGGGTTCCTGCTTAGGCTAGCATTTCGTCATGGGTGTTGTAAGCTTTCACACGTGAAGCAAGTTTACTCATGTCTGTATAAACGTTCGGATCTACCCAAAAATGGAAAAAAAAGGAAAATTTGATTTAGGGCTCCATGTTCATACTCATCAAGATGTGTGGCTTTCCAGTTTATGGATCAAAAAATTAAAAACATTTTGAACTGAAAAATGGGTGGGAATTGAATAGGAAAGGTCCTGATTTCACCCTATTAATTGTAGTAAATGAATTGTACTACTATCAAAATGTTGACGGAACGTTGATAGCTGATAGGGCATTAGCTTGGTTGAATAAAAAGATGGGTGGAGAGGACCACCTTCTTATATGCCATATGTATAGGATCTAGTAGTAGTGATGATACCAGCAAAGTGAATTCAATGATAGCAGCACCTGATATATCACTTCATCAGAGAGGGCAGTTTTGTCATTTTGGGCATCAACAGTGTTATCCTTAAACTATGGATAATTAGAATAATATTATTCGTTGCTTAATAAGCTAGTAACCTCCAGGCATCCTAATCATCTCACCCATACAAACAGGAGAAACACAGGGTTTTGGGGTCAAATCAAATACATGCATGAAATGGGTTGGTTCATGGTGGGCAACTGAATTCTTTAATCAGAGCTTCCTCTTTTCAACCTTGAAAATGGAAAGACGTGAACGTATGACTGATTCTTTTCTTACATCTTAATTGTGACAGAAGCCAACCCCATTACTTAAGTGTGGTGGGTTTGGGGACTTTGCTTGAAACGACGAGATCAAATTGCAAGGCTGGTATGATTGCTAAGAAACATGGCCTTGGCCCTATCTAAACTTGCTTATAAAGCTTAGTGTTTGATGCAGACACTAAGAGAGAGAGAGAGCGCCCACTCTCTCCTTTTTACTTGCTTAGTTATTTATATATAGCTAGCTATAGAAGGTACTTATTAATATATTGACTTAGTGAGAAGCTAACAAAATTGTTGGGCCAAAAGGTGGCTTTTGAGCAAAGGAAATCATGTTAATCCATGCAACCACAACTAGGTCAAGCAAACCCTGTTTGGGTCAACACCCACTTAGATAAGAGGGAAAAGCTTTACAGCAAATGAATCATCCGTAACAGATAAGTGGTCCTAATTAAAAAAGATCATTTGTAGATACAAGAACTGACGGTCTGACTCTGACCCTGACCCGGCCCCCAGCTAATATGACCAACCCAATCCCCACCTAAAACATTGTCGGAGTTTCTCCGGCCAAATTTATCCTCCCCATGCATCTGAATTAATGGGTCGGGTCAGTCACATGAGACAAAACTGGATGGATGGTTAAGGACCAGTCCAACTCTGACCTGGATCCAATAGGGACTGTCAAATGGACCCTAAGCCCGGTGAAAAGAGGGCTAGTTCGTTGAGTCCTTTCGTTAGGAAACAGCTAGCTCTGGCTCAGGGTGATAGAGTCGTCTAGAGATATATGCAGCTTTAATTAACGGTTTAGAGAAGAAGCCTGAACAGTCCATGACTCTTCACTGCAGCAGAATAGTTGGAAGTTGGGACCATAAATGGCTGAACCTCAACCATCTTTATTCAGTATTCAGAAATCAGACTATGGCAGTCAGTTTCTAGCCCCAAATCCTTGCTAGATGTTCAAAGTAAAACCTTTCTTGTAAGCAGCTTTCCACTAAAGAAATTGAAACTATCAGTGCAGAAAACGACTAATCACTGGACTAACGTAGAATGGCAGAGCTAACACATGGCAATTCCAGACTCATGAGGGTCTCCCCATCTGATGGATGTCTCTAGATTGGTCACATCATTCATCCACGTGAGATAACAGAAGGTTGTTTGAGGCTTGACCCAATTGGGCTATCCTTGATTTATTTCCTATTCGAAGTGGGGTGGGTTTTCCAGTTGGGTCAACGATGGCCCAGAAATCTTTACTGTGGAACCAAACTTGGGGGCCCAAAAGGGGTTCTAATGCATAGGTACCTAGAGAATATAATAGTAAGGAATAGGAAAATAGACTGAGAAAGTGAGAATTCGTTGGCAGCATGCTGGTTGCTTGCATTTGAAGAAAAAGTCTATAGATAGCTAGTGTTGAAGAAGCCATTCCAGGAGCTATTGGAGATGAGGAAAGGAAGGAGGAGGTTGAGCAGATTTTTTTTTGCAATTTGCTGTCGGAGGTATAAATCACCAGGTCAGATCAGAAAGTTAAGTTTTCGATGGGAACTTCAGCTCAAGTGTGCATTTGAAAGAGAAGTTGACAATAAGTATGGAAAAGTAGTTTTAGAGCACATGATCCAAACAAAATCATACTTTTGAGGCCCCAGGACTTCTTTGGCTTGACGAGTTATTGGGTGGCACATAGATTTTGTAGGTGTTTGGCATATTGGTGTCGATAAAATGGTGTTGTGTATGTTTGAGTTGTAAGTACTGTTTTTTGTTTGGAAATGGTGCTGCCATATAGGCTATATTTTCTGAGAAAATACATTGGTTTTGTTTGGTTCCAGAACCATTTTCAGTATTGGTTATATTATCCAACGTCCAAGATGATGCCACATCATTGCACTACTGTCAGAAACGTGATATTTTCCAAGAAAATATTGAATTTGACTTTCTTCATGCCACACTTTTTCGATTTCCAAAATATGGTATGGAGAAAAGTTTTTTTGAAAAAACGGTACCAAATTCTAAAGAACCACTTTTTCTGATGTGGCACCCACGTGGCACAGTTTTCTCAAAAAAAATGGCATTGATGCCAAACACCCTTTCATAATTCAGCTCAGAAGCTGTACAACATTGCAAGGAGAGGTTTCATAATAGAGCGCTATTCTTGCATGTAAGATGGATCCGCATGTTTTGATAAAATTTGGGAACTAAGAGCATAAGATCTCTGTTGCAAGGAGAGGTTTCATAACAGAGCATAGGTCGAATTGGTTCTACTTGCAGCATCTTAAAATTACATCTTTTTGGGTGCCTGGTGGGGGGATTAGCGGTAACTAGGTGCTGGGAATGATGGCCTAATGGGACGATGAGATGCCTTGAATAATATTGGAGTCCTTACAGAGAGGAGAAGGCGTCTGAACCTGGCACAAGGAGAATAGAGAGAGAGAGAGAGAAAGAGAGAGAGAAGAAGAAGAAGAAGAAGAAGAAGAAGAAAAAGGAGGTTGCATGGAGATTGAGACGATGACAGAAATAGGAGGGCACTGGTGAAGATTGAAACCACGATGTGACTGAGCAGTTTTTTGGAGGAGAAGAGAGATGTTACTTTTACACTGATGGAGAGCTCGAGAGTTTTTTACATTGATTTTTTGATGTAATTTTCACATTAATTCTTGATGTAAAAGTATGTCTAAATGCACTTTTACATCGATTATCATTCTTATTTTACATTCCATCCAAATGCATACAAAAGTGAATCAGAGTGTAAAACTATACCAGACTGGGTTTTTACACTACAAACAAACGTAGCCTAAATTGTTTTTTAATCCCATTTTATTCCTTGATCTTCACTCTTTCCTCGTCACTTAAATCTCTTGGACAAACGAGCGGCAGCTACCTTGCATTCTCTCTCTTTCTCTCCTCCTCCTTTTCACAAAATTAGAGAGAAGTTTTATATATCCTGGTCATTGCTGATTTGGCCATTGAAATACCAAAGTTAGTGGCATATTTTTAGGCACAGGAGGTCTAGATGCTGCAACCCATCAAAGATAAGTCCAAGTGCCCAGTCAACCATTATAAGCATATTTATGTTTTCCAAGGCTAACACCTGCAAATTCTGCAACCAGAGAGTTTGTCTAAGAAGAAATCTTATGGTTGTGGTGGAACACTAACCGATCCCAACCAATGTTACAGTTCCATCTCTAACTGGGCAATGCCTGATCTTTCAACAATCCAGTAGACGAAAAGACGCACGGAGCTTTTAGGGTTTCTCTTAAAGACCAAGACTGTTTGGTTAGTGTTGTAGTCTATTAGGCTGTTAAAAAAGGAGGAAAAGCTATTTTCGGTGCATAAAAACCAAAAAAAAACTTCATTTAAAGCTTCTTAATTAATATCTTTTTTAGTTTTTCTGTGTGCTTATCTTTAGGTCTTTTGGTTCATAAGATACCAAACGAGAAAGGACCATGTTTTAGTCTTTTGAACTTCTTACAGATCGAAAGGTACACCGAAAAGACATGCCAAACACCACCTTAATATTTTTTGGGAATCTCAAAGATTCATGCATTGGTGGAAGATCACCTTGGAGCCCTTTAGTGTTCTACACGCAATCTCATCACATCTGACAACAACGTAAGCTTTGTCATTTCAGCAATGTTGAGATCAACCGTTTCTCCTTAAAGAACAACACCAGTCCCTTGGACATCGCTAAATCGCTGCCCATCTCACCATTGCTCATCCACCTTGGCCATTTTCACAATTTGTTATATAGTCAAAGGGCAATTTTTGAAAATTATTGATTTATCAAAACAAATACTTTTTCAAAATTTATTGGGCAGTTAAGGGTTTAATTAAATAGTTTTTTAAGGCATATATAAATAGGTTTTGAAACTATAAGGTATTTTCTGAACTTATAGAGAATATGCAAATATTTATGCCTAAAAATTAGGGATGCCCTGACTTGAAAGTTTGTAACCAAAACTGCAGGTCATCCCTAATGCACACAAACCCTTATAACTTATAGAGAATATGCAAGTATTTATGCCTAAAAATTAATTTGTAACCAAAATACAAAAACAATATCAATGCATTATACAAAAAAATAAAACGATGTTTTTCAGATATATGCTAAATAAGATAAAATATACCTGGCTTTCAACTTGAAATCACTAATATGAAGTAGGGGTGAGCAAAAAAAATCGAAAAACCGAACCAACCGAAAAAATGGATCGAAACCGAACCGAAAAATCGGTTAACTGAACCGATCGGTTCGATGATTTTAAAAAACCGAAGGTATTGGTTCGGTTTCGGTTAACCAATTTAAAAAACTGGTGGTTAATCGAACCGACCGGTATACATGTTTTTGTATATATTTTTTATATATTTATGTATATTATATATATTATATGTATTTTATATATTATAAATGAATAAATATGCATTATATATAAATATAT